GGCTGTCTTACGCGCGTAGGACAGCCCGGCGCGCTTCACACAATTACATTTTAATATGTATATGTTATAGTATATGCTGTTATATCGTCACTCCCTACGTATAATCTCGTAACTCCAAAACGCAAATTTTAGAGGAGAGCAGTTTAAAAGTTTGAAGCTTCATATAGTTTCCCTAGTTAAGGGATTTTTCAGTTTTAAATTTTTACCTTAGTTATGAATATTGTTTTTTAATACTTGGTGACCACAAAGAACATGACTTTCTGAGTGTCACTATGCAATAAACTGAAAATCCCATATGTGACACTTATGTAATTATACGTAGGGAGTGACGATATTAGCTCCTCTCATATGTCGCTATGGGTAACACCGTTAGCGCGCGAAGCGCGGCGGGTAGTCTTACGCGCGTAAGACAGCCCGATGCATGCTTATTCGCGGATCTTTGTTAATTAAAATCTCAGTAACTATTGCGAATCTAGCAAAATGGTATAGGACTTTCGACTCATTTTTATTCCTTCTACCTGCCTACGAGAGATGTTAAACCAATTCTAGGACACCCTGTATATATAAATATATAAAAAGAATAATTAACCCTCAACGGACGGCGTGTTTTTCGGCACCTTAATTTGCCGGACATGGGTCGTTTTCGTCTTGGGCTTTTTAAAAATATTAAATATTTCTAAAAAAATCTGAAACAATGTGTATATACTCTTTAAACTGTCTAGTATAAGACATCATCATTAAATTTGGTAAAAAAAATGTTTTAATTCATAATTTTTACCAAATATGACAACAAGAAACTTATTTTTTTCAGAAAGTAATTTTGCTCCAGACGAAAACGACCTATGTTCGTCCGTTGAGGGTTAAGAATAAGACGCAAACAATTAAGTTATATATAATGCAGTAAAAAAAGTGTTTGTCAAAACTATATTCTACAAAAATGTGTGATATCCGAACAAAATACCTTTTCAAAAAAGGTAAAAAAAGACGCCAAGTACATGCGCAACTCGTATCTCTAGAAAAAGTATTACTATCAAAATCTTCCTGTATATGATAGACCCCGAATACCCCTTTAACTAATTTTTCGCAATATGTAGCATCCTATATGAATTTAAGAATTGTAATTTCAATTCTAAAACTCACGTATAATAATTTACACGTAAATATATATATATACATATGTGTATACATATACAGGGTGTCCCAGAATTGGTTTAACATCTCTCGTAGGCAGGAAGAAGGAATAAAACTGAGTCGAAAAGTCCTATACCATTTTGCTAGATTCGCAATAGTTACTGAGATTTTAATTAACAAAGATCCTCGAATAAGCATGCATCGGGCTGTCTTACGCGCATAAGACTGCCCGCCGCGCTTCGCGCGCTAACGGTGTTACCCATAGCGACATATNGGAGGAGCTAATATAACAGCATATACTATAACATATACATATTAAAATGTAATTGTGTGAAGCGCGCCGGGNTGTCCTACGCGNGTAAGACAGCCCGATGCACGCTTATTCGCGGATNTTTGTTAATTAAAATCTCGGTAACTATTGCGAATCTAGCAAAAGGGTATAGGACTTTTCACCTCAGTTTTATTCCTTCTACCTGTCTACGAGAGATGTTAAACCAATTCTGGGACACCCTGTATATATATACTATATATCCACTTAGACATCCATCTATCCAGACATCCATTAGACATCTATTAGATGTCGCATGGAGCTGTCGACGTCTAATAGACGTCTAATGGAGTTTTTGTTCTGTGTGGGTATTTCTGCACAACATCTTGCAAAAGCGGCTCTTAAGACTTTATTTCGTATTTTCTTATTAGAATTCAGAGCCTTAAGTTTCTTTACATATATATTATGGTTTTAAGTTGATATAAATTAAAGAATTTTTTATTTTGATGGTAATATATTAACAATAACGGACCACTTTCCGATCAACTTGAGCTTCACGTATGTTATCAAGAACATTGTCCTGAGTAACATGCAAAAAATTTTAGCCGTCGTTCGTTGTTTGTTAAAAAGTTATTAATAGTGATAATAACAGGTCAACCTCCGATCTACTTGAGCTTTACATATGTTGTCAAGGACATTGTCCTGAGTAACATGCAAAAGGTTTTAGCCGTCGCTCATTGTTTCTAAAAAAGTTCCAAACAAAAAAAGTTTCATAAATAAAGTTTTTTTCGACATTATGGACATTTTTTTCACGTTGTAAGCGTGTAGGCCTCCCTTGCACTCCCCTGAGCTTATCATGTTTTGCGTACATATTACCTTCTGTTTATGATGTTTTAGTTTTGAATATTCTTTATTTTTTCTCGAGGGGGGAGCAGAGGGAGGGGCGTAGCCCCCCGCCTGCCTACACACTTACAACATGAAGAAGATATACATAATGTCAAAAAAAATTTATTTATGAAACTTTTTTTGTCATAACTTTTTTATAAACAACGAGCGACGGCTAAAAGTTTTTGCATATGTTACTCAGTACAATGTCCTTGACAACATATATAAAGCTCAAGTTGATCAGAAAGTGGTCCGTTATTGTCAATATTTACCATTTTGATTTGTTATATGTAAATAACAAAATTTGATGTATTTTATATTTGTTTTTTTTTTCTCTTTTTTCTCTGTTTTTTCTCTCCCACTTTACTCCTATCTCGTACGACTTATAGAACACCAAAATTCCATAGGTGTGACGTCATCAATATGTTAAGAGGATCTCATGTTTGTGTCGCAGTACGGCTTATCATATACGGTAGTCCTGTAGCAACGTGTTTACTACGTTAGGCAATTATCCTCATCCTGGTGCTCGGCAGCATCATCATCTGTACGGTGATCGGCAACATTCTGGTATGCATAGCGGTGGCACTTGTGAGGAAGCTACGGAAGCCGTGCAACTATTTGCTGGTCAGCCTGGCAATGAGCGATCTCTGCGTGTCAATTCTGGTAATGCCGACAGCGTTAGTTTACCAAATATCAGGCACTTGGCCTTTTGGCTCGCTCATGTGCGATCTCTGGGTCAGCTTCGATGTTCTCAGCTGCACCGCCAGCATCCTCAATCTCTGCATGATATCAGTGGACCGGTGAGTAACATAACAAGTTAATCATCAGTGATCATTTCCGATATAGGGAAACTCCGATATATGAGCCGCACTTATCACAAACTTAATTTATCAAATAGTATTTACAATGTTAAAGACAAATAATACTATACTAATAAATACTATACTAATAATACTATACTAATAAAAACTTTATTTTTTACTATAAAAAATTACAAATACACAATCTTTATACTTTATATCTTAAAACACTTGGTAATAGATTGCAGATTAGGGGAGCCATCTCCGATTTCAATAATTTTTACATATGTTGTCAAGGTCATTGTCCCGAGTAATAATCTGAAGGTTTTAGACGGGGGTCGTCGTTTTTTAAAGAGTTATAAAGAAAAGAAGTCTATTGAACAATATGCAATTTCTCGACACCCTATGTATGAATATGTGTTCTGCGTTTGTACGTGTGTTTGTCAGTATGTGTGCACATGTTAGCGTTTGTTTATATGCAAAGAATGTCATTTCGAGCATTACTTGGCAGAATTCGTATTTAAAAAATCATTTGATTTTGATGAACGATTGGACGCTTTTTTTGAAATAATGTCTGTTACATATCCGATAAACGAAAATATAAATAATTAAATAAAACAAACATAAGATTTTGATCCTACGTACATTTCGTTCGCGTTTGAAGCGCGTAGGCATGGGAGGCGCAGCCTCCCCTGCACCCCCTTAAACCCTAACCTAACCTAACCTCTAAAAGGGGCTTTGCCCCTCCCCGTGCTCCTCCTTCGAAAATCAAGTACAAAGCTTCAAAGCTCAATTCAAGCTTCTTGCGAAAAGTGGGTACTTGATTTTCGAGAGGGGAGCAGGGGGAGAAGCAAAGCCCCTTTTGAAGGTTAGGTTAGGTTAGATTTAAGGGGGGGTGCAGGGGGCTGCGCCTCCCCTGCCTACGCGCTTCAAACGCAAACGAAATGTACGTGGGACCGAAAAAGAAGAATTTATTCATAAAACTTCTTCCTTTTGTAACTTTTTAAAAAACAATGACCTCCGCCTAAAATCTTCACACTATTACTCGGGGCAATGACCTTGACAACATATGTAAAAATTATTGAAATCGGAGGTGGCTCCCCTAATCTGCACTATTACCAAAAACTTGAAAAAACCTTTGTATTCCCAGATAGCCAAATGTGAAAACTCAATATAAAGCAAATCATTGTATAGATTAAGATGCTCGCCAATTGCTGTTGTGTTGTTTTTATTTAATGCAACGAAAATGTTTTTGTCAATTCAGTATCAATATGTTGAGTTTCATTATCAATCAATTGTTGTAGCCAATGTTTATGACATGTGAGTCAGCAATATGTGAGCAATATATGAGCAATAATTTTTATTCATAAGTTGAGAAAAATAATATAAGTTTATTGCGATGAGTTGTTGAGAACTGCTGTTATTATATTTTGAAAACTGTTGCTGGCAAGAACATACTGAAAAGAAGATACACCCTTTTGTTACATTGCTGAAAACATACGAGTAATATTTGTGGCAAGTTGCCAACAACTTGCACTCAGATGGCTATCTGGGTTTTTTCTATATATCTCATAAGAGTGGATACATAGCCATGTAGAGATAAATAATGAGTATATAGATATACTACTCGTACACAAATCCTAAATTACATTTTCTTTCTTCCAATAACACTCCCCGATAGCCAAATGATAGCAGTATGCTAGCAGTATGCACGCAGATTTAATCAGCACTTTGCAGCAGATTCCACTCAGCTGTGTCATCATAGTGAGTGAATTATGTAGGCACAATATGTAAAGAAAACAACACAGCAAAAATATAGAAATAAATGAAGAATGAAATGACAATAGCACGTTATGCTTCAAATCTGCTACATTTTTTGAGCAAGTTCTGCTTGATTGATGCAATAATATTTGCATTACGGCATGACACATTTATATTTTCTTTTTTTTCTGTTTTTCTGTCGACATTAGTTAAAATAATGTTTGAATGCTGGCTACATTGTACTGGCATAATGTGTTATTGCAGATTTTGCAAAATATGCTCACTCAGTCTTGGTTATCTGGGCTTTTTAGTATTTACTTATTTATGTATTTATTAATGTAAAATACATTAACATTATGCATTAACATAAAGTATTATCAATAAATAATAAGCAAGAATGTGTGTGACACAAAAATGCAAAGAGAATGTTGAGGTTAGCTTGTTGGATAATAATACTATGCATGTTCGCGCAGATGTTAAAAGCGCTGTATTATGGGTGCATTCCGATATTTACTGCCAGTACTGGCAGCGTCACAAGTACCGTTCCAAAATACATAGCAGTAAGCTGTCGAAGCACGTTTGCGAGCATATGACGTCACGGATTTTGTCGTCACTTCCTGCTTTCATCACTGCGGTTGGAGAGGTAAGGCAGTCGCAGTAGAAAGATGGCGGCGTCTATTCTTACGTGTTCACTGATTGATTTTTGGTTATGTTTGTACACTTCAAAAGATACTATAAAATCGTTCCGTTATACGATGGAAGAAACAGTACAAGTAATTGCGGAACATAGAAACAGCACTGTTTTATGACGTCACATTGTCAGTACTGGCAGTGAATATCGGAATGCACCCTATGAAGTACATATATAATTCATAATACTGTTAAAATTGTCATATACCTTAAACTGATAAAATTAAGAGACACGGTAGTGCCTCTTATACGTAAAATTTATGCGCTTGAGAAGTGAGATTTTCACGAGGCAATATCTTAAAAACGACTGAACCGATCAATTTCGTTTTAGTTTCAATTACTTCAGAACAAAACGGTAAAAAAAAGTATTCTTGCGTGTTTTTGTTTATGGCTTCTGATCGGAGATATGCGACAATAAAGTTTCAAAGTGAGAAATTCACGTTTCAGAAACGTCATTGTCATGGCCGTCGTTAGATCAAAATGTGCGCATGTTCGTATGCTTGCTAACAGATGTCATATATATACAAGCACGTTGAAAAAAAAAAAAGAAAAACGGAAAGACAAAATCATCAAGAGGCACGATAGACGGTAGTGCTTTGCGTCGACGTGGTAATTTCGAGCTGGCAACACCTCTGACAGTACCGATATAACTTTTTGTAAAGTAAACTGTTTTGAACCTTGGAACGCAGTAACTACAAAATATCCTTTAATTTATGAAGTAAAAAATTAATTCAAAAAACGGATAAACAAATTTTGCTGAAAAGTCAATCTTCGGCAGACCTCCGACCGTAGTAGGTGCGGAGCAGTCTATCGCGGCGTGATGGTTTCGCGCCGGCATCGCTCTCGATACCAATCACTCCGACAATGTTCCTCGTGGCGCAGTGGCTTCACACTGGCAGCACGTCCGAGCAGTGTTCACAGTTTTGGCTTCCTTAGAGCATGCTAAAGCAATGGAAGGGATGCGCACAACAGCAGCGAGTTTATGCAATTAGAACTCGCTACTGTTGTGCGCATTCCCTCTATCTCTTTAGCATGCTGTAAGGAAGCTAAAACTGTGAACACTGCGTCCGAGTGATACTCTATTGACCACAGTACGATTCGACACCATTCAATTCGACACAAAATTATTGGACACAGAGTTATTGGACACAAAATTATTCGACACGAGATTATTCGACACTAGATTATTCGACACCAGATTATTGATATCGACACGAGAGTATTCGACACTACGATTCGACACGGTAAGATTGGACACAATACATTTTCTGATATCGTGTACTTTTCATAAATAAATATTTTGTTTGCTCACACATTATCATACACGTGTGGGGAGGAAAGAGGCTCCGCCCCTCTCCCTGCACCCTTTCTCCGGGCTAAAAGTCTAACTTAATCTTGTAATCCATGGCAACTCCGGGGCCAAGCGTTGGTCCAGAAGACAGAGAAAATCCGAAAAATAGAAAAAATAAATTATTAAAGCGGTTCTGTTTTAGTTTTAAGAAAAATTACAAGAAAATACTTACAAGGGAAGCACTAGACATTGTCCCTGATTCAACTGAAATTTATATATATTGTAGATCGACTCTCCTACTAATTCGTCGTAAAATATTACGACGCGCTTCTCAAGCATTCGTGAGAAAAACGCATTTAAAGTTTTGCGTGTACCTTATGTAGCGTAAAGTTAGGATAGGTTGGCAGCTGAACGGCGTGGCTTAGCGCGTAAGGCACGCGGCTACCACGCTGCGTAGTGCCGGTTCGAATCCTTTTTGATCGAAATTTTGTTTTGTTTTGTAAGTTATATTGTCACATATTATACATTTTTACTGATATGTATTTTTTATATTTTACTTAAACAATTAGTGTTTGTTTTATAACATTAATTATATTTCAGAATTATGACATTTATTTATTTCTAATGCGTTATATCGTGTAATTTCAATTTATAAACATGTTATACAATAACCATTAAAATTGAAATTTATACGCTACGCACTAAATACATTTTGAATTATTGTTTACTCCGAGATTGTTATTTTTGCCGCAACGATTGTCGACTATCTTGAATATCCTTTCTTGGTAAAAGCATCTGTATTGTGAAATTATATACAAGTGTTATCTAAGAACTTGTTTTCTTTATGTGAGACTCGTTATGTGAGTTATTATCGGTTTAATGAATTGAAGATCGTTAGATCTAATCGCATTCGAACAAGAACTAGCGTTTAGAACATCGTGTAGTGCATCGTGTAGTACTAGTACGGAACACAATATTTCGAGCTCGGAGTCAAGCTCGGAATCAGCAAGCCTACAGAACGATGAAGAATTAATAAGAAACAATTTAACCAACGCTATTTATTGCAAGAGTTTGCTAAAANCAGAAAATTTACTAACGGACACACCGCCAAAAGAAGTCTCGGCTGCTTCTATCGCTATGGGCGAAGAAATCTTTAAAGAGATAGTACATACGTATGTTGCAAGAGAGCACAATTATTTTTGATGAAGATTTAATACTGCAGGAAGAGACTGATGTTATGAATGTAGAAGACTACACG